TTTACTCCGCGACGCTTTGCTTATGGCTCTGATACAAACATGGAAACTGACAAAGAGTAGCTAGTCGAATCCGCCTTATCTGTCTCCATACCGATCTTTCCTTAAGGCTATACTTAGCTGCCAAGCGCAACTCAAAGTGAAAGACGGAAAGCTGGTTAAACATGTATCATCCTTATCACTGTCTTATCCCGGGGTGTGGTAATGTCTAGAAAAATATGCTGCCTAAAGTATGTGCTATAATTATGGTCATAATTTGGTCTTCTGTCTTTACTCCGAGTAAGAGCAAAGTGCGCTCGGTCTAAACACAGAACTGTCGGTCAAGATCCTACTATGTCCCTTGCAATTGGAAAAGTTGTATTCACCTCGGACACAAAGGGGGAACTGTTTACCTCCAAAAGAATGACATTCACCCAAACTAGGTTGATGCAAATACAGTGAACACTAGAATTTCGAGCACAAGAATCATGCCCGATAATGTGATCGATTTTCTTCTTTCATTTATAAAATCCCGTGGATGTCATGATGAAATATGATTGAAAAAACTGGATCATGTTGGAAAGTGTGTCTCGCGTAACTGAGAATATCCAACATTAGCAGTAGTAGTATCATTATTATTAAGAAATAAAAGTTTTTTCTCGAATATTTCGAGGCACGCCATATCAGGCATGATTAGTATTATTACATTTTAATCAGGCGGTGAAATGATGTGGTGACTACATAATCCAAGCATTAAACAGCTAATCACCAGTACAGCTTACCTCCGAGACGACTACGGATAGCGGTTAATAGTTCATCAAATAACAAACGCTGATCATTGAAACTCATGGCGGAACGTCGTTTGGGTTGCCACATATCCAATAACTCCGGTAGGCATTCTCCCTGTTTGTTTCTGAAGCAAAATGACAGAAGGACGGAGATGTATGCAGTTCAGACACCAGTAAGGCTTAACGTGAAATTGGTTGTGTAACTGTCGACTTGTAGGGAGGCTGGAGGTTAGCTGTATACACAGAGTGTAAACGCTGCATTAAGCACTGACGCGGCACAGATTCATGCTCGAGTCAAGCACAAAAGTCAGCAACTTGTGAACGTACAATGCCCAGGTGAAAGAAGACGGAGGTGAAAGATAGAGGAACGCGCCAGAGATAATACACTCGCTGCCAAGTTAAGTTAATACGTTGAAGAGAGACGTACAATGCGATTCACCACAGCAGCGATTATCAAGCGAAACAAGGATACGAAGTACCATGGGGGCTTTGGCATGAAACACGCTAACGAGGTGCTTGGAGCACCATCCGTGTGTTCGAATTGCGACACACGCTGTCAGATTATGGTGAATTCGGATGTTACCTTCGATCAGTGCGGACGATGTGGCCACATTAGAAATAATAATGAGGCCTCCGTGGCTTATAGCTCTAAAAAGAGCGCTAGGTGCAAAAAGTTAGCTGCAACTGACTGAGTGTGACATACAGACGTCAAGAAATGAGGCGGTACCGGTTTAAATAGGTGACGGGGGTATAAAGTATGTTGTGAATCACTAATCGGGTTTGGATTGTCAAATACCGCTAAAAACAACGCACAATCCGTTTCGGTCAGGCCAGATCTCACGGAATGTGACGAAGCAGAAATTAGACCTTACGGTGACAAAGCTGACTACCCAAGGCATACCAATGCAACGTCAGCTCTTTTCACACTAGGTGGGCATAGAACCATGGGTGGGAGACAAGTGTGAATAAAAGTGATTAGGCGTATGGAAGAGGACGATTTACGCACGATTAACAAACAGAATTCTTGGTATACCTGTGCCATAAATTTGCACCACGTTTCACCAACACAAGCGCAGTTGCCAGTGAGCCGTTGTGGATAGCTTCGAAGAGAGGAGTAGACACATCAGACGGACAGCCAGTGTCATCCAGACGCGCACCTCGGTCAAGCAGGTAGATCGCAACCTCAGTGCGATCGTGAAAAGCGGCTTCATGAATGGGCAACCAACCCGCACCGTCAGCCACGTTAACAGGATGGCCCTGCAAAAATGAACCATTACCTTACATGTTTGTGAAGATGATAGGGGTCAAATCATGTAGTCAACTGGAACCATGAAAGTTCAAACTGAATTCAAGGATTAATCAGCATGTGTTAGCATGAATGATGATATCAGATGTACCAAGCTATATGCAGTTGGAAAGGCTCATTTGAAAAAAAATTCGAACGCAACCGATATCAAGATACAGTGTTCTTCACAAAGGAACTCGTTCATAAGGAAAGTTGTACAAATGTTAGACGTTGCCGGATCATGACACCGCACTCCAACACCGGTTTTCGCATCTGTTTGCACTCGTCAGCCACTAGAACTGACTTGGTTCAGATCCAGTCCCAGGTATGGCGAATCGGTGGTGGGCTTGGATTACGATACGCAATCTCTACTGGTAGTTTGGCTTTTTTCAAGCAGACGTCAGTTATTACGATCACTTGGATTGCATCCGAAGGGAAGAGTTTCGGAGCTGCTTTCTCCTAACACTGCAGTACGCGATTGGCAAATTTCGTCCTAATTTGGACACGTCAGGTAGAGACGGACGTGACATATAGTGGTTGACGACTTACGCCTTGGGCACTGAGCCAGAGCTCCGGGAGCAGCGCTTGACACAACGGTTAGAAGTTTCTTGTCGGGTCTTGGAGTACCCGCCGTATGTCTGGATTGCGACACGCAAGCACGATTGCAGCTACGGTTCGCTTTGAAGCTAACCTCAGACATTTCGATCATAGGGATCGCACCCGAAGTGGAGAGCTCTGCGCCAGCTCCAACACTACATACCTCCTCCGGATATGGGAAAGTATGGCTACAAGTAAGGTACCGAAGGGGACTTTGGAAAGCTAACATGCAATATTGATATAGAAAAACTATTGAGTAAGGGAACTTATAGAATGCACAGGCGAACGATACCAAGGAGAAATCACTTACTAGTATCTCGATCAACTTGACCACATGATCCAAATCCCCGTTGATAGACGCCACATGAAGAGGGGTTTCTCCTTTCATATTCGTCTGGAAAACGATAAGGGGTTGAAAAAGATGGCATTCGTGCGAAAGCATTCGTCAGAAAAACGGTGTGCATAGCCGATACCCGTATGATCAGGATTCCCACGAAGCCTGGTTGTTGGTTGTTCAAAAAATAAGCATGAGTAGTAACGCAATGCTGACAATCGGGACAAACCTTTAAACACAAGGCCTTTCCTTTACGATCTCCGCGTTTTCCACTCCGAAATTCATCTATCGATTCGGCATGACCAATACAGCGATCTATTTCTGAAAACAAGTGGAAGGTTGGAGTAGGATGATTACAAAGTAAGCAAATATTACATGAAGGAGCCGTAAAAATAATGCAATTGCAGTGATATGCAAGAGCAATTGCTCCTCAGACTCCAACAACTTCAACAGGTAATTAAGCCTTAGAGATTAGGTGGTCAGTGTGATGGATCTGGTGGCTGGAATCGGTGCTGTTGTGGAAACTAAATGAAACATTGCGCGGGAATGAAAACAGGAGAGAAGTGCAAAATGCTGAAAAAGAAGTCGGAAAAACAATACAGTGTGACTGGACGATAAATTAAGAAGCGAGTGGCAGAAAAGCGCATGCGAGTGCTGTTGAGGTGGCGAAAGTCGGTTAACGACTGGCGTGTTCGATCCCCGGGGTCATCAATCAAGAAGATTGAACGTACTGATCTGACCAAGCCCTTCGAAGTGATCTCTCAATGATTTTTTTTTCACGACACTGATATGTAGGTAGGGATTCGCTAACAAGACGAATAGTTGGCACATTAGCGAAGTGACTGATATGACCAGTGTAGATGGCCTTTGAGAAACGGGAGTTCGCTGTTAAGGCTGAATTCGGACTAGAGGTGGGAACACAGTATGGAACATAAATGAAGTCAGAATTGAAAAGGGTTAGCAGTGGGATGAAAATGAACGGAAAACTTCATTGTCAAGTGGATTAACCAGACAAACGCTGTCATTACAATGAAAGACACAAACAATGAACAAAGTTCGACATCTTACTATGTGCCAACACATCGCAAGGTTTGCTATCCTTTTGCATAAATACGGTGGCTCAATGCTTCAGATGTTAGAGTGTCAACCCGTGCCACTCCTGCCATTGGGAATGCTGCAATCATGTACCAGAGCGGCCTGAGACAAGAACTGGTAAGTTACCACAGAGGATCAGATTCAGAGTGGAGTTGATATGTCTCCAGGGCCTAGATGTGTGCACAGCGATACTTTACGAAGTATCAATGGTCTAACCTTCCTCATATTTCACAGCTTTGCGATCCTTCAAAAGCATAACATCAACATACTATATACGATACAATTAGGCATCATCAATCATCATGACTACCGGAATCCGATGAAAGAGAATCAATGTATTGAGTGACTACATCTTCGTCCGGGTCAGATTCATCAACCGTGTCCTTCCCCGCACTTTGATCTTCTTCTTCTTCGTCTTCTCCTTCGGTCTCCTCTTCTGGGTGGGGGCGTCTTGATTGCTTATATTCGGCGATTTCCCTACGAACGAAAGCAGCCTCCTCTGGTTGATCATGGCAGATATAGTAATCCTCCAATTCGGTCAGAATTTCCAGCTGCGAGATGAGTCAGAGGGAAGGAGATTAGTATAATCAGTAAACGGGAACTGGTGTGGTTATAAACAATACGAGTGCTGAAACGAGTGTCGGCAAACTGTTGACAGAAGGACCGGTAACGCGCCAAAACAAGGAATAGTGAGCGCTAGGAAGAAGATTAAAAAAACTAGCTTCCACTTATTTAGGATCGGTAGAATAACCAAGTGGAAGTAGGCGACGCTATGACAAAATCAAAAAGGGTGCATACTGGAAGCTGTTTGGAATCAGAAGTGATCAAGATCGCTACAGTAAAGAATGTGACGCAGAGTGGCGGAAGTCTTGGCGACAGAGTTTTGTTTGCAGATAATCGTAAGCGCCTTACACACATGTTGGAACATGCTTGTGTTCGAGACAGTGAGCTGAATCGGTTAAAATGTCGGACCACCTGTTTTGTGCCACAGATTGACAAAGGAACGAAACAACAATGCGGGGGTCAGGTAGGATCTTTTCGGCATTTACGGATTTGGTTCAGCGACATAAGCCCCGTAATATAAAAGAATTCGCTGTGGACTAATGTAAACAGTGGTGGAAGCCTGTACAGCGTTGTTCATTACCAAACTGCGGCGCCACGTTTTGACAACTACTCATTTTGTGTAAAATAATTCGGAATACTGGCAGCTCGAAAAGCCCAATCAGATGCCCATGTACTTACTGGGTCTAGTATTGTCTGGTGACAGAAGTGAACACAGCAAATTTGCCTCATAACGGGTCTACAGCGATTTGAATTAGTGTAATAGTAGAGTATCCATTGGATACTTACGTAGGTTGTCACACGCAAGATCAGAGGTCGTCCGATTTCGCCACTAAAAAAGGCGAAATAAAAGTTTGAATTTCTTAGGGTTAAACGGTGTGCTCATGGGTAGTAATATCTAAAAAGCGACCCAAAGACAAAGGGGTTAAACCAGTAAGCTAACTGCTGATGGTAGTTTGTGGTCGTGTGAGCTACACGATCAGGTATGCAATTAAGTTTGCGTCGACTGCAAATGAATATGAACATGTAACTTACCGTCAAGCGAGGAGTATCCGACTGCTTTGAGGCTTGTAAAGCATGCTTGAGCATTTCCAATACAGCATCAGATCCCGTTAGTGAAGACGACGGGGCGATCGATGAGCCGCCAGAGGGAAAGCAGAGGCGTTGCGCCTGTGCCATGCTAAACCAGCTGCTGGCCAACTCCGTAGTGGGTAGTCCGGTGGAAGTTACCCATTGGATCTCCCGCTTGTATGTTTGCACGCATTGGCTATAGTCGTTCAGAGCACGGAATGTTTCAGCGACAGAGACAAGAGCAGCATCCATCAATTTTGTCAGAGTCGAAGTATCCGTTGAATTCGTGGAGACACCTAGATGGTAGGCGCTTTCGGCGTGCGTCAGCTTAAGGGGAATAAAGGATTTTAACGATCCAGGTGAAGTTTCAAAAATGCACAAATGGACAATCAGAAAACAAATGGAATTAACAATGGCCATACAGTGTGCTGGCTTACTATCGGATGCCTATGCTCTCGAGAAACTGGCGGTAAAAGTCATAAGGGTTGTATGGTCTAAGGGAACAGCTTAAGTGCAAAAAAGGTTGAGAAGGACAGCGAAGAAGCACTGACGGCAGTTTACCGCATAATGAAAGTGAATAAACTAGAATAAGGCAAATACAAAAATAGTGTAATTTACCACTTTAGTCAATGGACTAAGCAAGGACACCTCTCAAATAATCAGTGAATTCCACTCGCTCAATGATGAAAGATTTTCGAGCAAAGCAAAAACTTCGACTAACGAATGGTAAATGGCGATCAGACTGAGATGAGCAAACCCAGGCCAAATAGCTACACTTCCCCATAAATATGATGAAACTGATGAAAGATAAGAGCACAAGAAAAGAATGAAGGAAGACAAAAACAAAAAGGCTAATGACGTTCTGCGAAACGATGGGGCATGGTAAAAAGTCACAGTTGAGCGTTACCCATGCGCCAGATCCATTCATGAGCGGCAACTCATCTCTGCTTCAGCCCGGTCGGACTAAGTTGCAGTAGTTAGAAAGAGAAGTAACCCTAGCATAATAAGACTCAGTACAATTAACGGCGAGCCGGTTTACTAATGATTGGTTCCTTTACAGCGGTTTCTCTCTTTGAATCGGGCTTGAACTAATCGAGATATCAGCAAATTGCCAACAATCTGATAGGAACAATCGATGGTAGTGCGACGTCGGCGAGATAATTGTCTTGCGGGTCCCTCTGTCGTGAGCCACAACCAACCTTACCCCACGTATAACTCGCCATCACACAAATACTCACCAAACATTGGTCCGCTGCGAGCCATGTCCAGAGCTAAGCACTGGGTTACTGGGGTGGACTGCAACTCGGAGTGCAGAGCGGAATTGTAGCACTAAGTTCAACCACTGGCAACTCCGTTGCCTGACGTAAGATCAAAGACTGTTCACCTAGAACTTTAAACTACGCTGGATCCAATTCAGCGAAGAAACTACTTTACGATAGTTCTCATCAGATCAATAAATGCATGAAACCTGGTTAAAGTGCTTAAATAGGCATTTAAAGCCAGGCGAGGATTTATAAGCCTTCTGAAGTAATTCAACCAGCTTTTACACACAATGACCTGGTAATACTTGCAGGAAAGAAATTTCGTTGCTGATTTAAATGCCTTCATACATGTGGGTATGTTGCACCACCCATATTCTTTGCATAAAACACGTTTCACTTTGATAAGTGAGCCAATGTATCCTATTCAGCCTTGATGGTTGACAATGTAATAACCTGATTATCACCATCCAGTTTTCATATACTGTGGCTCGGTACTTTCCTTGTTGCGGGAAGTCAACACAGCGATGTCCACCGAGTCATATATCCCCCCGTGTCTGATTTGGTGGCACAGAAACAGACGCAAAGAGCGTCGCTGGTACTGACATAGAAATAGCCCATAAAAGCCATGACCGTAATAATGGATCGGATTCCAAGTAATAGCCGATTATGTGCATTTCGGCTACAAGGCCCATTCTGAATCAACAAAAATGTTGGGAAGAAATCTGCAACGTGTTTGCGAGCATCGCTAGTGCTCTAAGTGACTGCCATTGCGCATCGATTAAAGATGCTTTTTATGCGAATTTCCCCAGCTTTCGAGCACAGCCGACAACTCGGATACAGCTGTTGTTGCAAGAGAGTCAAATGTGCTTGTGGGCATGTGAGCGACTCCTCGGCAGTCAGCAGGTAATTAGCAGTCCGCTCAAATAACAGAGAAACACTGCGCATAATATGCGAAAACAACCGCCTGTTTTCCGATACAATTATTCCAAGCATAAAAGAAAGTACCCCGAGATCTAGTATGCATCAACAACAAAACCGTGACATGAAATTGACCACATTGCAACTAGTTTCAGGTGGTGGAGCAAAATAAAAGACCGTGAAAGATTGACCGCCTAAGCTTGACTCAGATCACGGGCGACTCTGTGCTAACAATAGCGATATATATATATATATATATATATATATATATATATATATATATATATCACTTGGCGGATCTGTACGCTATCGGGCGCGGCACCATGTTGCGGATCGGGGAATGCCTTCCTTGTGGAGGTAACTGCGAATAAGTCTCGTTTGATTTGCAAGCGAGATGAATAAGCCGTCGCGGGCAATCAGCGGCAGCGTCTCAGAGCGTGGGGAGTTCTGGGCTGATCACATCGTACGTCAATGAATACCACAAGTGCTCATACGGCACTGTGTCAAAGCCAATGTGACAGGCTATAGGATCACTGACTATGCAATCCTGTAACTGGGGGTGAGTATCTAACGGAGGGTGGATGAACAACCTCGCCGGCCACCGACTTCTCTGTGGACCGCTTCTCAACACAAAGAGGACGAATGAGCCAATTGGCTGTCAACGGTCTTTGTGAATCACCCCGCTGCCTTGCAGGTCAAGTCTTAAGACCAAAGACTCGGGGTGGGGTCCCTAAAGTCAACCGTCTTCCTCGGCCTGGGCAACCGGGAAGCTCCATGCCCACAAAATACATGGAATTTCGCTTCCAGTCCTCTTACTCGGTCTCCTATTTGTTACTGTTACTCATGTGTTGTGGCAATCTGTCAAATGTTTATTAGGCAAGTGTGAAATATGGTTGGCGGCATCCGGTTTCGGATTTGTCTGTCACTGTGGCCAGCCACAGGACGCCTGCGCCTACAGAGGGTCCATGGGTGGCTTGCGCTGCACCACCCACAGCTCCATCCAGACACTCCATATTCAGCGTAAATCCAAAGGAGTAAGAAAGGGAGGCATGTGGATGGGAGCCACGTTTCATCAATGGAGCCGGCCCACACTCCTTCACAGGCAAACACAAGCACGCTGTATTTGGGGAATCAAGCGCACACAAAACGGTGGCTGGACCGTAGTCTGCAATAACACTGAGTGCATGGAACCACTCTTCGAGCATAACACGTCCACAAGGACCGTACACCCTGTCCCCTCCAACAATGAGCAACTGTCTCTTGAGCCAGTATGGACGACGTAATGGGTAACAGACAGGTAGGCATCTTGTCAACATGCACATCAAGCGCAGCCACATCGGGGATATCAAGAAACAGCCAATCACTTGAGAGAAAGATAACAAATAAAATAAATCGAGTAATGCATAAGAAAACGGTGACACAAAGCTTAAATTAATGAGCATATGAAATAAGTTGTTTACAAACGAATCCGAGATAAGTACACGAGGTACGAAAGTATATTTTACGGAAATGGCACAAACACGAAAATGTTACCGAAATTAACTACAATTGGCTTAAGCGACGTGTGCAAGTTTATAGAAGAGATTATAGGTAGATATCTATATGAGAAAGAAAAGCATTAGGACAAAATTGAAAACCCACCAACTGAAATAAATAGACTTAGCATGCAAGCACGCGGTTAGTAAATCGAGTGCAATATATTTACAAGCGCCGCGCCGATCCTGCCTACGTTCTCTGCAGGACCCGTCGTCGCTTCGGTAGTGGTCCCGAGTGGCCTCGCTTATGGCTCACTAGGCCTGCCTGACTCAGGCACCCGCGACCGCATGTGTTACAGCACCATGCGCTCGATGTCGATGGAGTAAAACCCATTGGTCCTTGCCGCTTCTTTTCTGCATGCACTTCGGCAACTGCCTTCGTGATTAGATCGCGCCATGCACGCCAATCAACCGCCTTCGATTCCCGTATGCATGTATACATATAAATGGCGAGAGAGCCCACGGTGCGCTGACGCTTGTGGTGGCGAGATTCTGACAGATCGTCGACCCGCTACCACTAATGTTGTGCTACGTGCTTATGTCTTGGATACTTCATCGTGGCGAACTCTGGGTGGGAGTTGGGTTACACCCTTCTTCTAGCTAAGACTCAGGACACACAACTCCGCGGGAGTCGGTTCACTGATTCATGGCGTTCGGCCCGCTGCCTTTTGCTAAGGACCCGAGTCGTTCGCCTGTCAGGTAGTATCCTAGTCCAACCCCGAAATATGAATTACATAAATAAGAATAAATCCATGCTGCATCGGCCGTCGTGCAATGGCTCTAAGAAAGGGGTCGCCTAATCTGCTGAATAGAGCGAGGTGAATAAATGAAAACATGCTACCACTGGCGGATTCCTTCATTCTTCTGTCCTTGCGCATATATTTCCCGTCCTTGTTTTACCTAAACCACTACATCTTCCAAATCAGGTCGTCACCACCCACACGGTTGCCTGTCAACGCAATCGTGTACCTCCCCGCAAAGCTCACAACATCGGGGCCTGGAACATGCGCACAGTGCTCGACCAGAATAGGAGTCAGCGTCCCTAGCGACGCACCGCATTCGTTGCGATGGAACTGGCGCGCTACGTCGGTATGGCGGCATTCAGTGAAACCAGGGTCGCTGAGCAAGGTAAGTTGCATTAAGCTGGAGCTGGCTATACGTTCTACTGGGTGGGAAACACGAGCTCAACACCACGTGAAGATAGGGTCATATTTGCACTTTCCGATCGCCCAAATAGTCAGCCGGTGGGTCAGCCCACTGGCATCAGCGCGCGAATGATGACTGTTCGCTAGGATTCGGAGGAGGTAAGTCTGCCACTTCCATAAATACGTACGGTCTGAGCATGTGTTGTCCTGATGACACGCGTGCTCAGTTATATACTCAGTTATCCTTCGTGAAACGGGCTGTGACGAGGAGCGACCGACTATTTCTGCTGGGTGATTTTCACACGCGCGTTTGACGTGATGCATCGGTGTGTACAGATGTCATCACTCCGCATGGCATTGGTTCAGCGAATGAGAACGGTGATAGGCCGCTCTCACTGTGCGCCACTCACGGCCTGATGATCACGAGCACGGTTTGCAGTGAATGCCAGTGATATAGTAGCTTAGAC